TCAGATATAAGACGGTACGCATGCTGAGTTAACGTGTCGGGACACATGGTGTTGTGGGGGAGCTGCTCGCCACAAGTGTTGAACTTGTGTTGGACTCAGGTGGCGCTGTGACTGTACTCTGACTCATCGCTGCAGCACCGGACGCTCTACACTTGCGGTTTTAACGTCCAACAGCGTGCGCCATCCCACGTACTGATAACTGCACTTAGCACTGATGTCAGCTGTTGTCAAAGGGCATCATATTTAACAAAAAAAAACTACACATAATTCTTGATAGACCTCAGCCGTTGCACTTTCTTGGACACCCAAGTGGCAAAAACACTACAGCTGTTTCTCATGGGCTTGTGTCATAAATCACCGGTGAATGGCTGGTTTAAGGGTGGGTGCTAAGGAGCAGCTGTACCCGGCTAAAAATAGCAGCAAGGCTGCTGCCGGACAGCAACGCTAAAGCTCAACATGCAGTTTAGCACAAAGAGCTTATCAACAATACCTTCCACCTGCATAAGCCTGAGTGCGGCCTCGCATCAGCATTACTACACGGGAAGTGACTGAGTGTTGTGCAAACTGAACGTCCGCGCATGCCGCTGTGTCTGACTCACACACCCAAACAACGGCCAGAACCTGACCACATAATTCAGACACACTTCATTTTCCAATGAGCTGAACATTCATTATCAGTGTGTCGTGGCCTGAGGCAGAACGCTCCCTCCTCGGTGCAGTGACAACCGCCGGCCGCCCTGATGGAAAACAAAAAACTGAGATGGCACAGCAAACATGAAATCACTATGACAGGCATTGAGTTCAACAAAGTAGGACTCAGCACAGTAAGCACATTTTATCAGTGTTTTCTTTTAGTCAGGATCTTTCTCCAAATTAAAGAACAGACTGAAATTCCTGCGTTCAGCCCGATAAAGAGCAGGAGTGCTTGTACATGACACTGTTTGTGTGTGTGCACACCTGTTTGGGTGTACTGTAGGGTCAATGTAATTGCTTAACGCAGAGGCTGGCAGTGTTTAGAGATGCCAAATTGGGCCTCTGGGAGTCACTATAGCTCACAATCTGACTAATGAAGGCCAAGTAATCAAGCTTCAAACTCATCAACCATGTTTGCAGTAATTAAAAGGTTTATGTTCAGCATCAGGAGAGCCGTTCGCCTTCGTCCGTCAGTGTCACAAGCCAGATCTGCTGTTTGTTACTTCCAGGAGCCGGAGCCAAAGTGTAAACATTTGACACAAATTCCACCGATCTTAATTGTTCATTCAGTGTATATAATAATAAAAAGCCACAATAAAGACGGCGGGTTACAGTCAGAGGTCCAGTCGGTGCATTCATAGTCGGGCGTTGGGCCTACAAAGATGTACACAATGATGGATATAAATCCAATAATCAATTGTGTGACGAGTTCTGTCTGCCTGCATCATCCTGATCTATTCCGTCCTGTGGGACTCTGGGAGGAGGACAGCAGGGAGGGCTGCTAAAGTAAATAAATAAATAAAAGCTGCTGTCATACTACACATGCCCTGGCCTCCAAATCTGTATTTTGTTCCGCACTAGAAATCACAGGATTTTCCAAAGAAGCAAACACACGTTATTACACACAGAGCTGCACATTTGCATGCTTTTGGCATTCAGCAGGAATTATAACCTTCTAAAAATGTTTCCGCACACCTGCAGTATGAAAGATATTTTACATGTGGACGGCTGTGATTTGTGATGATGCACAATAGCATGCGCGTGCTGACTAACTGGATTAGAGCTTAACACAATATTTGGTAGGATATAGTGTTACACCCTCTGTCAGACATGCTGACATCCACAAGGATTTTACCCGGCATGCAGCAGTGGAGGTTCTGCCACTACAGTTCTCCAGGGATCATAAGTGACCTGATGAGGACATCAGACTGTGGCTGTTTGTCTATTTATGCGACGTCCACCTTAATTTGAAAATGAACATTGTGACAGTGTGAGAGAGCTGAGACCAGGATTTAATCTGCCAAAAAAACATCTAGAATTTGGATCTAATCGCGATAACTCATCAAGGTGTTTCTGGCAGGAAAGACTTTGATCTGTTTCATTGTAAACCACTGGTGTTTCCAGAGTGCCAGCACATCTCTGTGAGAGGAATAAAGGAGGACACACAATGAAGCGAGCTTTAAACTGAGGACAGGGCTCTCTCTGGTGGCGGAGTCCTGTTAGTGTTACGGCTCATCACGAGTTGGGATCTGGTGGTAAAAAAAAAAAAGCACTTTAATTAAGAGGAGGGATAAAAAACAAAACAATTAAAAAGTAAATCATAGCTATAGTTTTTTAATTGTCCCGTGCGAGGCGGAATACGCTAGCTCCTCCGTTTCCCAGCGAGCCGAGCCTAATGCTGTGGGTGCAGACTGTTGTGCTGAGGATCCCCCACTGCTTCCTTGATTACAGCCAGTGGTTGCTTTGCAGCAGACAGTTAAAATCAAATACCATTCTCTCACATATTACCACCATTGTATTTAGTTGTAGATCAATTCCCTTCAGCTGCGCCATTTTACATAATGAATGCAGGGGCTTTTGATGTGTTTGCCTGGTAGGAGACGAAGGCGCCGCAGGAGGAGCCGCTGGAGGGCCTGCTGTTCTCACCTTATTGCACTGTAATAGTTTGAAGACTGCATTTAGTGGGAATGGTAATGGTGTGGCTTGTTGTGCATGGAAAACATTTGTAGCGCTGATTGTTTACTTTGTAATTCGCTGGCAAAATTGTATGTAAGTGTAATTATTATCCTTTGTGACATGAGTGAAAGATTTCTGTGTAAATTAAGCCTAAAGGTAGCTTTTCTCACACAATCTCAGACAGCTGCTTTTAACATACAATCAATAAATTGATTAATATTAGGCGAGCCATCTCTGTGAGGAACAAATAAATTATTTAATGTAAAATATCAATGTTGAGGTACGTGCTCAGTACACGTGTTTAGTAAACCCACATAGCCAAATGTATGGAGTGGGGATGTCACAGTATATTGATAATGGCAACACGGCATTTTAAAAATTAAACACTGATGTCATGTTAATAATGCATATGTGGTAATATCATTAACTTTCCGGTGCACACTCCAACGTAGATTGCACCTTGATTGCACCATACAATGAAAAAACACTCTACCCTTGAGAAAAACATTATGATCTACATGTATTTTAAATATATATTTATTATGACATATTATGCACACATGCTATGTCTTTGTTTATATACACCTTTTATAATTCAGTTAGTTTTTTTGAATTTTACAAAGATATCGCAATAATATTATTATTAATTCTTTTGGCTCCAATAATCATTTAAGGAAAATCTGTTATCAGTGTCATTTTATATTTATACATATGTATACTTATGCATTAAGAGCATTTTAATGTTGTAGCTGCATGAGATAGAATTTATAATAATAGAATTTTAGCTTGTTTTTTAGCAGAACATTAACTATGAAGGATTTTTTTTTTTTTTTTTTAAGAACTGAATACGTGATTTGAGCTTTGTTTCCCCTTAATTTCAAATTTCAAAGATTCTACATTAATTATTTGTGTTTTGGACGGCTGGTCAGACAAAGGAAGTTATTTAAAAACGTCACATTGGACTCAAGGAAACGGCACTTTTCACCTTGATTTGGGGTGTTATGTAGATCAAACAATTAAAATCTATTGATTCAATACATGATCAGCAGATTAATATGTACGTAAAATCATAATTTGTAAAGTAACTATAAGTAGGTAAATGTACTGGAGTAATATTTCATCACTAATCAATTATTAATACACGATCACAAAAGGTTGACTTGATTTTGAGAATTACTGTTATACTGTATAACATAAATAAACCTTTGATAAATGTTCAGGAAATATTACTTATACTAAATGTAATTTAATACATATGTCACCTGCTCTCTGTGGAGGTTTTATCAGTTGGCTAAATTAGAGAAAGAACATTTATAACATAACCCTTTATGTGGTTATTTTATTAAAATAACTGCATCTCTGTACCATAAATAGTGAAGATCATGAGGTTTGATTTAAAGCACGATACCAGAAAGTTGGTTTTCTTCATTTAAAACAACAAGACTGTAAGAAAGGAATTCACTGAAGCCCAAATTGAAGTGTTGTTGTTCTGATAACACAAATACTTACTGATTCCTGCTGTGCATCATGTCCTCTGCCTCTGCCAGTGAAGCGATCTGTGCATTTGGCGACGGAATAGTCACACCTCATCTCTCCGTTGCAGTTAAACTTTAGTCACATAAAGCTGCGAGTGAGTAATACATTTATAACTGAGGGCGTTCTTCACACCGGAGCCAAGACACCGACATGTTGTGATATTTACTGTGGGACCTTTGTGCTTAAGTGAGAGATATGAAGACTGAGACACTGTTTGTGGCCGGCTCAGCGGCACATTTCGCTCATGTGCAGCCATGATTCGATTTATAACAGAATAACTTTGTTAACTGTTGCTAATATGGACGGTTGCACAAATGCCAAATCCTGTTTGACAGATGTATGAAAAAGCCATTTTTCTCACTTAAGCTATTACTTGTTGAATCTCTGCGGAAAACGAATATAAATAGTAATATAACAGCAAAGAGTCAGCGGTTACAAAATCCCATCTGTGTGTGTGTGTGGGCAAAGAAGTGTGTATTTAGCATTCATACTAATCTATGCTTGTAATCTGTGACAGAGCTCCTTCTCCAAATTCACCCTGGACAGCGACTGTGATTGGCGGCGCAATCAGTAAAGGTGCCAGTATCACAGATGCTGCCTCTCAACTAATTGCACGAAGGCGCTGCAGTGCCGAAAGCGCAGGTGCTCGTTCTCTTTGTGAAGTCACTTTTGCTGTGGTTGGTTTTCCTTGCGTGACTTCTGAGCAAATATTTTCGGAGCTCTCCTTCGCGAGATTTTTGACAGCAATTTGAAATACAATGAGGATAAACGGGCAAACAAAGGGTGCATAATTAGGAAATGTGAAAACAAGGCAGTAATATAGCAAAATACTACTTTATTTATTTGCGAGGCACAGCGAGAGCCAGCTGCTCTCCAGAATGATGGTCCCCCCGTAGCTACAGCAGCCAAATTTGATTTAAATCACCAAAACAGCACTTCAATGCATTTTCACTCACACTTCAGCAGGTATTATCCAGTCTTAACCACCTCAGCTAATGATATTCATTACACTGACATGGTCAAAACATGATTATTGCACCGTGTCTTTGGTTAAAATTTCTGCAAGACGTTCACGTCAATTGCGATTCTGTTGCCTCCTCACCAAAAATCGCTTCGACATGGACGGGACACGACATGAAAAGGACAAAAGTGGGCGCTGCAGAAAATTAGACGAAGAGAATAAAGCTGGAATTGTACTGCTTAAGCCAAAAACATTTATTTAGAGCAGAGAAGCGGCTCTTCCCCCCCCCTCTACCCTACATCACTAAAATCCCAGAAGACAAGCTAGTGTACACATCTGGCTCTTGGCCACGTGCCCATGCCCGCACTTTCAACAGGCAGTCTGGGATTTGGTTCCTGCTCAGAGTCTTTGTGTATCCTCTGCCTGCTGCGAGCGCCAAGCCCCTGAGTCATGTTGGTGACGTCGGCTAGCTCGCGCCTCTCGGACAGGGCGGTCACCATGTGTTCCAGCTTGGAGCGGATGGTTGAGTAGTGGTACTGGCGCTCTTTGGTCAGCTTATGGAAGCAGTCCTTTAAAGTGGTGTCTGGAACTGCCTGGGTGGGCGAGATCTGCCCGGAGGACGCAAAGGAGGGTGACGTGTCCTGGTTTGGCCCCGAGCTCGTCGGTGCAATGGGGCCGAGACGTTGCGTGAGCTGGAGGTCAGTCTGGGTGTCGCTGTCTGCCACCGAGCGGCTGGTCTGAGTCGAGGCGTGGCAGGAGATGGCTCCGGAGGTCACTGCCTGCTCCTCCGCTTGCTGCTCTGCAGGGAAATGTCGAGTCGTGCTCCCGGCCAGGATCTCCTCCTGCTGCTCCATCCAGTCCCCTCTAACGGTGGAGGAGTCGGACAGCGGACTGGTTATGTGGTGATCTGGAGATGAGGGTTCAGGAGGAGGCTGCACCGTCAGAGTTTGAGGCTTACGGTTGGGCGTGCTGGTCAGACACACCGGCTCCACGGGCCTCTCTCTGGCCAGGTGAGAGGACGAGGAGTGTTTGATGAGGAGGTGCTCGTAGATGCCACTGTTGCGCACGCTGGGGGGTCCGCGAGTGTTTAGAGGAAGAGATTGTGCGTAGAGGATGCGGAACTCCTCGTCGAATTTCTCTGTTATCTGACCAGAAAGCTCAACCAGGTTGCTGCTGTTCAGTTTACCATCAGTCCAGTTGAACCTGAAAGAACCGGAACAACACGCATGACTGAAAGTAAGCAGCTACAGTTGCCCAAACCCAGCAGAAAAACAGAATCACTTTACATTCTGATAGATCTTTAGAAGCTACAGGCTGCATAATACCCAGTAAAGGCATCTGACATTAGATGGAGTGGTGAGCGGGCTCTAACCTGTAGGAGCCTGTAGCCACTCTGTTTCCATCAATCAGCATGAACCTCTCATGAACCTCCCCCGTAATCCTCGCTCCGGATCGCATGTAATAAGTCGTCCCAGTTATGGTTCGCACCCTCATTTGCTGTAGAAATTAAGGGCACGTTTTAATATGATGCCATCACATGTTCATGTTGCGCACACGGAGCCACACCCAGCTTAACCGACCACATACCTGAAGGTCATCAAGGCGAACGTTGGCATTTCTGCACATCTTGAGGAAAGCGGGAGCACATGATTGGTCCAGCAGAATGTAGACGGGGACTCTGCGGTGGGAGCATGCCTCCTGGAGATCCTTAAAGATATCCAGGTCTGTGAGGGAGTCAGTAACTATGGCAATCACCTGCAGTGGAAAATTACAGAGGTAATATAATAGAATTCCTTTTAGGGCTGCAGCCGTGCTCTTCCAGATGTAGCACACGATTGTGTTTTCATTATTATCAAATACAAGGCCTTATTCAAACAGAGCTGCGAATCTCTGTCAGACACACTCCCTGTAATGTGTGTGCTGATGAGCTTTCTATTGACTGTGGTCTGTTACCATGGCAATCGGCGGTAACGCTTGGTCAGCAAACAAATGACTTTTATACAGGAGATAAGTAGGTGCACTGTAGGGTTTGCCTCCCTTTTCCTGAGCTTTGTCTTGCACCAAGAATTCTCTCTTTCTTTCTTTCTTTTTTTTTTTTTGCGAGGAGGAATAGAATTTCACATGCTGCGGTGAAGGTTGCGTGTCGAGGATTAGACACGGATGTTTACATATCTTTGATTTATTGCCTCAAACTGGTGCTATCCACATGCTGCTTTGTCATGAGCACCCCGCCTTATTTGGATGACAGTGTGTGGATGCTTTTTTTTTTTTTTTTTTGTAAGTAAAACAGTTAAAATTCACAGAAATACAGGACAGGCTGTTCCTTCTGAGCTGTTGTGTTGTTACAGTCAGTGGCTCCTTTGTACAATAAAGACCGTGTGCACAGTGACGGTGTAACATTACAAAAGAACAAACGATCCCACAGTTACATTTGGATTAGGCTATTTTTCTAAGGTTTCAACTACTTGCCAACACATTATATATACACAGCACCACCTTTTTTTTTTTTTTTTTAGCTGTAAGCCAGAGAGGAAATCCAGCGTTTAAAGGTTTCTAATGAAAGTGAGAATGCAAATGTACACGGAGGGGGAACAAAGCAAGTTGAGGCACATCTGGTACGCAGGTTCTACTCAGGCCCGAGGTGCTGCTGAAGCCGCAGATTCCCTTCATACTGGAATGTCTCTTTTCAAAACCAGAGACTGGACTGACAGCTCCCATCAGGAGCATCGCAATAAATATTCATGCGCTGCTTTTAGGTTGTTTTTTTTGTTGTTGTTTTCTTTTAATCTGTGTGGTCAGTGATTTATTCTAATCAAGCCCGAACTTCTGAAATTCACAGTGATCAAAGAAATTCCACTGGGACAATGAGCTGTGTATTCAAAGAAGATTTAGAGTTTTGAGTTTTCCCTGCAGGAGCGTTTCAAAAAAAAAAGTGACTTCAAACACACACTGACTCATTTTGGGGGGGGGATGATAAAATGTCAAATATTTTTGCTGCCAAAACCAACCAACCAAAAGAATATTCCTGGTTTAAGACAGTTCCCTTCTGTTGTTGAATCACCTTTAAGTGGGGAAAGTTCCACAAGAGCTGTAGGACTGTCACACAGAAGTAATGCAACAATGTGAAGTAATGGTGGAATAAAACTGGAATACAAATAAATAAATGCAATGTGAAGAATTGATGTTAAAAAAATGGAAACACTACTGGAGCAGTGTTTGCAGGATGTTAGATTTAGAATAAGTTGGTAGATCATACATCAGATCATTATTGGAGGTGTTTTTCCTGTAAGTATACCTCTCTGGCATTCTTAATCATGCGCCTGGCAGCCTCCTTGCAGCTGTAGATGCACTCCCCGTAGCTGGGCTGGAAGTGCGCCACGGCCCGGGTCACTCCCCGGTAGGACCCCGCGGTGAAGGCGGGCCACCCCATCTCCAGCAGCGGCGGCTCCACGTCTGACACTTCGGGGAAATACGTTACGGAGGAGCAGTCCACGGAGCTGCTGAGCGACTGCTCCAGCGTCTGGTCCTCCCCGTGGATGGACGCGCAGCGCGGAGACACCGCGGCGCTCCTGATCCGCTGGATCTCATCGTCCGACAGAAAGTTAGAGATCCTCTCTCTCCTGAGGAAGTCCAGAAAGTTATCCAGCCCCCCGGACAGCAGCTCCTCCAGAGCTAGCCGGTGCCTCTCGTTGTACACTTCCTGCAGATTTAGCTCTCCGGCCCCTGGTGTGGGACACAGCCTCAGAGGTGAGTCCTCCAGGCACTGCGACAGGGACATGGCTGCGCTTTACTTCGCCTCTGACAGACTTGGCTGCACCGGAGCGGGCAGGTAACGTTTTAACCTGCAGGAGGAAAATTTGTATTTTGTTATTTCCCTCCGTTTTTGTCTGTCGTGGATCCGTATTGGCTGTTGGACGCTCGTCAAACCAGAATGGCGTCTCCGGGCTCGTCGAGCCGCGCTGTCAGTCTAATGTAAAGCCTGTCTCATTGGCTCGTTTGGAGGCAAACAAACTGCTCTTCGTCCCTCTGCTCTGCCCTGATCCGGTTACACCACAGAGCAAGGCAAAGCAGGAGCTCCCACTCTGACGCTTTTTCCTGATCTCCTGTGAGTGGATCCATACAATCTGAGCTGCTGCTTTCTGACACTTCAGGGTGAAAATACTCACATAGAAAACAGTGGTCTCCTTCTGCTCACTTGCCTCTCTGGTCAAAAAGGAGCAACACTTTTTTTTATGCCTCCAAGTGCTGTACACACACTGGCAGCTCATCAGTGGTGCTGTTGGTTTACAGAATAGTGTAGCGTAATTGTTGAGGTTCAGCTTTTTTAAAATGCTCTGAGGTGGCTTTCACACAAGTCAACTTAAAGCATTTAATTATTTATTTAAGGCACAGAAAAGTGCGGATTTACATGTTCATACCTGGAAAGGCTCAGTTAATAGTTTAGCACATGTCAGTTCTGAGGTCAAAGTACAAGGAAACACATTTTTGCACAAGGCCAGAAGGTTCTAGAACAGCGGGTCCCCAGTTCCCTCCACCACATACCCCACAACTACCCAGTAAATCACAAAGCATACAAATACTATACAAGTCTAGATTCTAACACTGCACCCAGTCATCAGAACTCAGCGTATGTTCTTGAATCTCCAGAACATGCACAGCTACACGTCTCCCTCCTGCAGAACGGAACCACGGGGTGGGTTTTTGCTTTGCTGTTGGGTGATTCATCTTCCTGATAGATAATCTTTGCTTTTCCTGACTGTACACTGCTACAGGCAACGTCTGAACCCAGTCAGGACAAACTGGGAGGGAAGAGCAAATCCATGTTCTGTAAATACTACAGGCATGTATTCACGCTACACCCTGCATTAGAACAGACATTGACATTACATTTAAATTACATTTAGCAGTGTGATCTTCAGTGTAGCCTCCAGCTACAGTCTCCCTACCTGTTACACACACAGAGCCTAATGTACACATATCTGAATCCGTTATATTACTACAAGAATTTCAAGTGGAAATATAGTGTGTCCATAACACTCAGTGGCATTAGAGTGACCTTATCACACATAATGCAAATTCTATATTCTTACTATATATAAGATTCATATTATATAGCTTTGACTTCTTTATGTGTTTTTTAAAAATATATATGATTCTACATGTTTGTAACCTATAGCTATTCTCTGTTTATCGTTTTTTTTCTATTAGACTTTTATTTTGAGCTTGCCTCAGGCTGTATTGGGCCTGTGCGCTTTCCTCTGTGCGCTTTTACGCACAGAAGGCCAACAAGGTCATGAGGGTCGCAGCCGCACAAACCTTACTTTACACAACGACGCACGACTAGCACCTGTAATCTGATTCAGAGAAAATGTCCTCATGTGTTTTTGTGTAAAAAGAAAAAAAAAAAGGACACCAACAACTAGGCTGCAGTTACGGTGCATGTGCGTAAATTGGTCTAGCACTATTACGCGTGTGCGTAAATGTCTATTTTGAGCCGGTAGGCTAATAGGCTTGTGCTTTAAATGACAATTCCCAACACGATTAATATTCATAGTAGCCCATCAAGAGATTTTTTTTTTTTTCTGAAGACGACAGCCATCTATTGGAAAAAGCATGTGACCTAATTAAAAGGACCTTTTGGGTGATGAAGCTCAGTGAAACTGCAAATCACTGAACTCCTGTCAAATTCCAAATTTACACAATACAGTCCATCTGTTCGGCCTGCTCCGCCATTGTAGCTATGTATAACCCGGTGCGTACCCTATAACGATATACCCAAATGTGCACCGGGCTCAGTATACGTACCCTCCTCCCCCTTCTACAAGCACACACACACACACACACACGCACACACACATCCCCATCTCCTCCCCGCCCCTCTCCAAAATTTTAGATGAAAGGGCTTTTGGATTTTGGATGACGCTCCGTATCACGTGTTCATAGGAAATACACTCGCTATAATTTTTTTGGAGCTGCCTCGTCCTGCACCGCCGACCATAGTTGTTTTGCCGTCTTCATACAGTGTAGCGGAGAGGTGGAAAGGTAATGTAATGTAATGTACCTTGCCGTGGTCACTGACGGGTTCACGCCAGTTCACCGGGTTCACTTGAGGAGAGCTCCCACCCCCTGCTCGCCTCCTCTTCTTCTCAAAGCGCAACGATCGGAGCTAATCCAATATTATTCATTTATATATTAATGTCGGATTCCATTTTTTCCCAGCGACTGCTGAGGTAAGGACACATCTACTCTTACAAAAACACGAATACGTCTCATTACGGACGAGGTGCGATCTCCAAAGTTGTTTACTGAAATTATGTCTCGCTATTGAATATTGAATTTTCATCTGGTGCTGTAGTGAAGGCAGTTTATATGAAGTCGCCAATGTATAAAATGGCGACAGTAGGTGGAGGAGGGGGGTGGAGGATTTTTTGGGAATATTCATAAGGTTATATAGAGTGCCAGATCGCCTTTGGCAAGTCGGCTCCGCGGCGGTGTGTTGCCCCACAGCCTTGTGAATGGAGCTAAACGGGTTAACTCGTCAGTTTGTTACAGTTACAACAACGTCTGGCTGCATTTGCGCTCCTTCTCGCGCTATACAATGTGGCGTATCTGCTTATTTTATTGCACAACGCGCTGTATTTCCCCCACTGTGCTGCGAGTGTGAGTGCTCTTAGTTGTGAAAGACTTCTGAACGCAGCGCTATAGCAGGCTTATCGACTGGTTTTATTGGTGGTGGTGTTGGTGAGGGGGGAAGAAGAAGAAGAAAAAAAAAGCCTCCGAGTTCATAGATGTTCAAACTGTACGCCAAGTATCAATTTACATCTATTGATCGCTCACTCTCTACAAATTTCCTTCTCTTGCCAGAGCAGAAACGTAGGCCTGTGTCTCTATGCATAGGACTCTTTTTCTTTCATTTCCTTCTCTTCCTCCTACCAACATGTGCTGCTGCCCAACACACACACACACACACACACACACACACACACACACACGTTTGTATGGCAACATTTGTGAGGACATATTCATTGACATAATACATTTCTCTAACCCCTTCGCCTAACCATCGCGTCCGACTGCCAAACCCCAACCCTTCGCTTCACCTAAATCTAATTCTAACCTTAACCCCTAAAAACCCCTCAAACAGCGCTCCGAGAGAGGCGTGAAAACAGTGAGCGCCAGGCCAAATTGTCCTCACTCCGATGGTGTTAAAACTCAAACTGGTTCTTATAAAGCCGTACGGGCAAGTTCCCACACACCGAAAATATATGGAGTAGAGAAAGCAGAGCTGCTCGTTTCAGGAGATATTTTGTGGATTATCAGTGAGGCGTTGTGTTAGAAAAATAGCAGTTCCTGTAAGTCACATTTTCTATCTGTACATAAATATTGACCCAGCTTTGAATGCCATGTGTCTCCCTCTGCCTTTAGGGGAGGGACCTCTGCACTGACTAATGTTGCCTCTGTGAATCATGTGTGGGTCCGGTGTCCATAACACAAGAGACAACCCCAAATTATTCGAGCAGACAGCTAGACAAGCATGATTCACCAGTAATTTTTGGAATGTATTTTTAATTATTTATCCATGTAAGCTGGTTACATATAATGTAGGTCATGGAAATGACTGCGCAACTCTTTTGCCGTTGAGGTTTTCCTGACAGTGTAGGTGTTTCTGTGGGGAGTGACTCCGAGTCCATGGACATTGCTGCACTCCCGTAGTTCATTTGGAGGCGTCTGTGATGACCGGCAAAAACAAAGGTAAATGAGCTCTTGCTGTGCGGCTCCGGCAGACTGGGTTCAGCTTGGCCCGGTGAGTTCACAGTGTGTGGAGGTTTTCACTCCAGCAGGACGCTTACACTGGGGGAATGTCAATTCCCTTTTGTGGATCCCTGGGAACGGTCTTCCATCTCCCTTCTCGGAACTGCTCTAATGAGGCCAGGCATATTGCCTTTCATCCCGCACTCCCTGCAATTAGGCACAGCTCATAGTTTTCGTTATGGCCACAGCGGAGTGTTTGTATACACAGACACAATGTAGTGGGCCAAGAGTGCCCACTCCCCTCTGAAAAACAGCATCTCTGCACATGCCGCCCCCCCACCCCCGCCCCGTATACCTGCAATACTGTACTTTTCAGGATTTGGTGCTCTGATTTCTAGCTGCAGTCACTGTGGATGTTATGTTTGTGTGTGCCTCCCACAGCTCAAAATGAATCCCGTGCCAGAGAATACCAAGGAAGGTCATATGGTCATGATTTGCAGATTTAGCAGACATGGAGTGTATAACATTCCTTGAGTTCAGAGAAGAAAATCAACTATCTAATGCCAACCAGATCTATTTTGCAGCCGTTTTTATACAAACAAGCATTCATGATAGCGGCATACCTCATGATCCTCACAGAAAAGTCTCCGAAACACAATGCTGACTCGTATTTTTCCCTCCAGAAAGGACGGCGTTCTATACAGGTTCACTTTTATTTGGGTCTTTCATCCTTTTTGGTATTGCTTTTGTCATCGGACCAATGCCGAATCGAAGCCCAGACCGCTCAAAAGCCCCACTAAAACAGCATGTTTGCACAGTTCCAACCAAAAGAAACGTCCATGCAGTGATGGGGGGAAAAAACCTTGGGGCTAGTGGGGGGAAAGAGCCCCTGCCACTTTCTCTGTCCCATGCAAGAAAGGTTTGGTCAGCAGGAGCTGGCATTTGCCAGGCTTTGGCAGTTAGAAGAGGCTGTGATGTCAGCCATTTTAGGACGGACAGTACAATGTGCGGTATGCCGCCATCTTTCTTCCTTTTCTTCTTAAGTTGCCAAATGAATGCCTGTAGTCTTGGCTACAGAACTGAAGAAGTTATTCATCAAAAGTGATGTAAAAGGATGCATGACTCAGATTTTT